ATAAATTTTTTAAAGACTGGATTTGGCTCCCATCATGCTAGATAGGAGAGCTGCAGCAAGCGACTGTTTCAAGACACGTGGTGGGCTGTCAAGAGTAAAAAATGCTTTCCCCTAATGTTATATTTTTACCAGCAAAACGTAAACGCGTAGGTACTTTACCTTTAGAAAGATTTGCTTCTTACATAAAAGAGGCTGCACAAGTTTGAGAGAACGAGCTAGCGCCACCAAATTCAGTATAGTGACATTTGTTAAAATCTCATTTATAAAATCAAATATATTTTGCATGTCTACCAAATGTTATTGTCTGCATATAAGTACATAGGTGGATCAATAACTATAAATAAATATCTCATGAAAGACATTTGCATAGCATAGCATTTGAAGTTATGTTATTACCTCATGGCCTGTTAGTATCCCGTAGATACTGAAACATGTATTCTTCCTTCTTGCGTCAGATTTCTCTAGCAAACTGTGAGGAAAGGAAGGAGAGCGCTATGAAATATTTCTCCCAAACTGTTTTCTCTTCTATTGCCTATTGTAGCCACGAACCTAATACAGTCTATGCTCCACAGTCCTTGCCTACACACAAGTACCAGATCAATTCAGTTTTGGGGTTTTTTCCCCCAGAATTTTCTCATGTTTGCTTATTTAGATGTCTTTTGCTATAGTTTGTTGCCTTTTTCTTCTGTTTCCTTATGTTTAGTTTAAAGAGCAAGAGGCAGCAGCCTAAGATTTGCTGTGATATTTTCAGGTGCTGGTATGCATTAAATTTTTAAATGAGTTAAAGATAATTGACATTTTGATATATCTTCTCCCCAATCAATAAAAATGGTATATTCTTCTATTTGTTTGAGTCTTATTTTATCTAAATCTATCAGTAAATCTGTCTATTGGCCTCCAAAAACGTACTTTGGTTAGGTTTCTTCCTAGGTACTTTTTTGCATTAGATTGCTATTGAGAACAGGATATTTTGGTCTAACAACATCTAGTCACCGCTTTCCTGTTGTGAAGTGTGTTAGACAGGGTTCTCTAGAGAGATAAAACCAAATTGCTGATAATTTAATATATTTATTTATAAAGATAATTAGATATATAACAAGGAATGAACT